ATGGACTAAAGGCCGAAACCGGTTTGGCTCAGTGGATAGAGCGTCGGCCTGCGGACTGAAAGGTCCCAGGTTCGATTCCGGTCAGGGGCACGTACCTGGGTTGCGGGCACATCCCCAGTAGGAGATGTGCAGGAGGCAGCTGATCGATGTTTCTCTCTCATCGATGTTTCTAACTCTCTATCTCTCTCCCTTCTTCTCTGTAAAAAATCAATAAAATATATTTTTAAAAAATGGACTAAAGAATCAAATAGACATTCTCACTGAGAAGGTATACAAGTGGCCAGCAGGTCCCCACACCTGAACATGAGAAAGCTCCGTGCCACCGGTCGTCCGGAAAGTGTGAATCACTAGCACAATGACTTGTGACCTCACACCTGTTAGAATGGCTGTCTCTAAAGTGTTGGTGAGCACAGGGGGAGACTGGAGCCCTTGCTCACACTGTTGGCGGGAACGCACCGTGGTACAGCTGCTATGAATAACAGTACGGAGGTGCCTCCGAAAGTTAAAAGTAGACTCCCCTACAGCCCAGCAATCCCACTTCTGGCTGTTTATCCAAAAGAACTGAAATCAGGGTCTCGAGGAGAAACTGTTTGCTGAGGGCGATGCTAAAAGGTCCGACAGATCCGGGTCCTGATTCTGGCTCGGCCGTGCCCACTGCCTGTGGCTCTCGGTGAGCTCATTGTAGCATTGTCCCCTACAGCCAGGATGTGGGAGCAACCTAAACGTGCTGTGTGCGTGCACTCACATACTGCTCAGCCTTTAAAATGAAGGAAATTCTCCCCTGGCCGGGTGGTTCAGTTGCTTGAAGCATCGTCCTGTACACCGAAAGGTCTCGGGTTCGATCCCTGGTCAGGGCACATACCCAGACTTCCGGTTCCATGATCCCTGGTCGAGGCACCTATGGGAAGCAGCTGATCCAATCGATGTTTATCTCTCACATCAGTGTTTCTCTCTCCCTCTCCCTTCTCCCTTTCTCTCTCTAAAATCAATGGAACCATATCCTTGGATGAGGATGAAATAATAACAATAATTCTTTTTTTAAAGAGAAGGGAATCCTGCCACATGTGACAACATGGGTGGCTCCTGAGGACATTATGCTGAGTGAAATGAGCCAGTCACAGAAACACAAATGCTGTGGGACTCTGCTTGTCTGTGGTTTCTAAAAGAGTCAGATTCATAGAATGTGAGAGTGGAATGTGGGTGGGGGCTGAGGGAGGGGACAACGGGAGTTACTGACCAACAGGCCTAGCGCTTCAGGCAGCAAGATGAATAAGCTTAGAGAGTTTCAGTACAACAGCCAACAACACAGGGCTGTGCACTTGAAAATTGGTTAAGAGGGTAGATCTCATGTGAAGTGCTCTTGCCCCAATAGAATAAGATTTTCGGCTGTAAAGAGAGAGCAGTGCGAACTATCTGGGGCATTCCTTTTGAAGTTAAAGAGGATCGAGAGGGCCCTGGCCTCGTTATTTAACACAATCATCTCGCTGACTCGAGGGCCATCCCTGGAAATCACCACATGCCGTACTTGCTACAGTACGGAAAGCCAGAGTGTTAACGGACTGTTCACCGAGCAGCCTGCGTATGATAGCATCCTTACTGCCACTTCCTCACCTGATCTAGCACAACCCCCTGAGATGGCCTAGTTATTTCCATTTTACAGATGAGCACACTGAGGTCAGAGAGGCAATGGGAATGGCCAGAGCCAGGATCAGGCGCTGGATCTGTCTGACCTTTCGTATCACCCTCGGCCAGTAAGACTTGTTCTCCTCTCCTCCCTGCACCAACCAGCCACCCCTGCCCGCGGGGCCAGCATCCCACCCAGGACAGAGCGTTTTCCTGGGAACGGTGGTGGTTCGCTGACCAACCACAAGACAGAAGCAGAATTATTTCCCTCCCCCGGGTCATGTTTTTCTGTCGGCCTGTCCTTCCAACATGGAAGGGGCACATCAGAGCGCTCAGTGCTGCCTTGCATTAGTGACTTGGCCTATTTTATGGTTTGGGGGTTTGGTTTGGCTTTGACTTCCTAGGAATTGCTCAAAACCAAAAGAGAACTTGGCGCTGTTGGGAGGTTTCCGTGGGCCTCGCTGTGCCATTCGGGGCCTCCGCCTGTTTCAGCCAGGAGCACCCTGGGAGGCCCCCTCTGGGCGGCGACCATGGCC